TACATTACATTACATTACATTATATGCATACATACGTACATACATCTTCTTCCACACGCAGCGAAGTCCGTTCGCCTAGCTGTCGTAGCAGTGCCATTTTAGTACTGGCGCTTCTGTGAGCGCATAACAACCATGGCGCGCGATGCACCAGGCCATAGTGGCCGTCAGTGAACCTGTCTACGATCGTCTTCATCACGAGTGCTCCGCAGCCTGAGTGGCTCTACAGAGTATGAGATAAGAGTCAGTGGAGAGGGTCGATGCAAGACCAAGATGAGTGAGGATGGAAGCCGCAACATTGTCATCAGTGTGCCATAATCCTTTGTCCCATTGCAGCACGCTCCGATAGTGCCGGACGTGGCTTGCGACCCCAGGTGGGTGACGACCGCTGTGGCCTGAAAAAGACGTAGGCATCATCATGCACAGGTACAGGAATCTCAGAGGTGGTATGCAGGACTGGATGTGAGTCCTTGACAAAGCGTCGTCTGGCGCCAGACCCTTGCTTTCGAAACCTGAGTAACTGAATCCAGACGCTGTGGGCACCCGCGGTGAGCGCATGAGTGGAGGCCTGAGTGGAAGGTGTCAGCCCCTGCAATGTCCCGCAGCATGGGACCATCAGCAATAGACTCAAACTCAAGAATGCGAGGAGCGGCCCTTTCTCGGCGTCGTGCCTGCCAGTTCCCCTTAAAGCAGGGCAGACACGCTCGCGGAAGGGCGTGTTGCCAAATCTCGGCAGCATCGGACTGACAATGCCAGAGCCGCCAAGGATTCACAAACATAACCCGAGGGAAACTCTTACTGAGGTCCAGGGCAGCTGGATGTTGCCGCAACGCTCGATGAAGCGGAAACAAAGCCCCAAGGTCAGCCTCCGCAGCTCCAGGCAAACAGGCTAGATGATGAAATAACGCATGGATGATGCAATTCATGTAGCATAAGGTGCCTCTGGGATTTTCAAGGAGGATCTGGGCAGCATTGAGGCAAAGAATGCAGGGAAGACGCCCTGCGGAAGATGCGGAGTTCACCAGCTCTGCTCCCAGAGGAGGCTTTGGATGGACTGAGCCAGCTGAGACTGGACGGGGCGATCGCGACGGAGCCTCGTGGATAGAAGGCGGAGTATACCGGAGTTGATCAGACCATTCAGCTTCTGCTTGATGACATTCCCGATGTTCTCAGCTCCAGTCCAGGTGGAACTGCACCGACGCCGTGTCGTAGTGCCCGCTCGGATAGACTGGCCGCACCGACTTGAAGTTCCGAATGGTTTCGCTTGATGTCTTTCAGGATCGACTCCGTGGTGCGGGACTCCGTCATGGGCACCAGCTCCTCCACCTTGCACGCAGGGTTTCAGCGAAGATGCCTGAGACTATACATACTTACGTACATACATACATACATACATACATACATACATACATACATACATACAAAATTACATTATATTACATTACACTACTTTAGATTACATTACATTGCATTACAATACATATAATACATTACATTGCATTACATTACACGCTAAAACACTCGGCCCCAAGGCTCAGAGGCCGAGAAGTCTCTCTCGGCTGGGGGCCCAGCGCTGCCTGCCAATTCGAATATGCCGCCTGCGACAAAGGGCACCGTTTAAGGTGGATGGGTCTATGATACCATACTGTTGTGGTATGAGGGAACATATACAACCGTGCACCTTTATATTGCTGGCAAGCGATACTCAAAAACATCTCTCTTAAAACCGAAAGAAACTTATGTCGTGGTGTTTTCCGATTGGGTCCTATTCGTCCTAGTGTTGGCAATTTACAGGTCCACAGCAGAGGCCGAAGAACACAGAATCCTGCAAGCGTCAAGTTCTCGGAAAGTACTTACGAACTGCAGAAGCTGCTCTGGTCTGGAGACCACTGCAGAACTTGACCACACCCAGAAATTCTGCATGCCTGACAAAAGGTTTCTCCAACGAAAATCCCTGCACGGAGAAAACATTGTGAAACGTATAGCTGGCAACTTTCAAGTGACACTGTCATCCCACAACGCAATGTAGATGCCGCTATTAGATGCAAGGTTTGACCCCAAACCCTTACATCCGTAATTGCCTGCATCCTTCAGCCAAAAAACTCCAAATCCGAAGGTCCCAAATCCTACAACTCGTAACCTGAAACCTCTATTACCACACCCTATCA